CTCTAAATGGATGAGTGAATTCCACCTTCAACTCAACCTTTCAAAGACTGAGCTCCTTGTCATCCCAGCCAGTCCCTCTATGCAACCACAGATTAATATCCAGCTTGGTACAACCATACCCATGCCCACAAAGTCTGCCCGTAACCTGGGCGTCATGATTGATAACCTTGTCGATTTGCGCTGTACAACATCAGGAAGATCAGACCTTACCTGTCAGAACACGCTACACAGCTCCTGGTAAAAGCTCTTGTGATATCATGCATTGACTATTGCAACTCTCTACTGGCAGGTCTTCCTACATACATACAAAACATAATAAAGCAGATACAGATGATACAGCAGCACGACTGGTCTTCAACCTCCCTAAAAGAGCACATGTCACTCTGCTGTTCATCTTCTTACACTGGCTCCCAGTTACTGCTCGCATCAAATTTAAAACTCTGTTGCTCGCTTAGAAAACAGACACAAAAACGTCTCCTCCTTACCAAAACTCTCTCATCCAGATCTACACTCCCTCCCGCCCACTATGCTCTGCCAATGAAAGGCGTCTGATCCAACCTTCACAACAGGGTCCTAAGTCTCTGACTAGACTCTTCTCCTCTGTCGCCCCCCGGTGGTGGAACAAAATTCCAAACTCCATTTGATCTGCAGAGTCCCTCTGCACCTTTAAGAAAAGCTAAAGACCCAGCTCTTTCATGAACACCTACGACCTTTATGATGATGATGGTTTTGATATCATTGATGATGATGGTAATGACAATGGTTTTGTTGATAACCATGATTTTAAGATGGTTTCTATACTGATTAGAGCTCCCAAGGACAGCCGTCAATGTTGTGCTTTGCCTCTGTGCACTGCCTGTCAGCATTAGTGTCCGATCTGACTTAAAGCTGATCGTTTGCACTTACTGACATCGCTTTCCTCCTCTCTAGATCCTCGCTTTTGTTTTACTTACTCTCTAATGTACGTTGCTTTGGATAAAAGTGTCTGCTAAATACATTGTAGAATTGGAGAACATACAGTCAACACAATCAAATGCAGCAAAATAAAGACAAGGCAACAAAAAGTAGACAATACTCACAACATAACCACATGCAGCCAATACAACAAAATGCAAAGAAAAGGCATTATCATCTACAGGCAATCCAGCCGCAGACAATAGAACATAGTTAAATGTATATTTAAACAAAAGAGTTGTGTGTTTGGTTATTTGTTGTCATTTGTCTTAGAATAGACTGTTGCATATGCATGGAGAATCTGAAGGGGACTATTATCTTTGGAGGCAGGGCAATGTTGATCAGACGCTAAATGCTCATCAGACTAAAGCCAGTAAGTGAACAATTAATTGTGATGCCTGCGTAAATTTTTGCCGTGTGCAATCTATTCTATTGTATATATTTGGTTGTGTTTTCTACATTTGGCTGTGTACCATTTACAGTACAATATACAGTTTTGTAGTCTGTATTTGTTTGTGGTTTCTTTGATTTGGTTGTGTTGTCTTGATTTGTTTATGTTATCTTTGTTTGGTTGGTTGACTTTGTTGATGGTTATTTTCTGCAGCATTCGTTTTCTTAAAGCTCCTGTGAGGTAAGAGGTAAAACTTTGTCCCCAGGGGATGCTTAGTGTGACACAGAGGTTTTTAGTTGCACAGTGTTAAGCTCTCAGGTTCACAGTCATTTTGTCTTAAGTGGAAATCATCCTTTGTAATTAGCATTTAAAATCAAATGAGGGAAAATAAGTGTATAAAGAAGTTTCTTGTAAAAATGTCTGCATGATTATTTTCCTAATTCAACTCACACAGATTTATGCCATCATAAGAATTGTTTTGTATCCCAGCTCCATTGGTTGCCTGATAAATCATTCAACAAAAATAGCTATTGTAGCTTTTTTAAAACACTTTATCATACTTATGGTATTATAAGAACTATCCCTTCACCCAGTGTATCCTCTGGAGTAACTAGTGTTCTTCTTAAAAGCAGGAGATATGGTGACTACACACCATCTTTATATGACTGAACTGCTTTAAAAAACTACAACAGGCTGTATGGATGATATACAAATAGACTATATGAAGTATATTCAAATTCTAAGAACTCAACCACCCATTTCATAAACTAGACATGTTCAAGTTATGAAAAAATATGGTTGTGCTTTGTTCTACCTCTGGTAGGGGTATCTTGAAAACTAAAGCCTTTTGGGGGGGTTTGTTCCTCTACTAATGAGACGGTTATAAGTTTTCAGTTGGTTACCAATAACATGACCAGTAACTCAACAACGTGTACATGATATTTTTAAATGTTTGGAAACACTGATTTAATTTATTTTTTATTGAATACATTAAGTCACTGCTAACCAAGATGCATTAATGACGTTGAATACAATAAACTCTTAGGCCTACTGTGGAAACATTGGAACATGCTTTTCCATTTGCCTTTAATAGGTGACCCAGTCCACAGTGTTATGTGGCTCTTGAAAGAACTGCTGCTATTTCTTGTAAATGCTGAGGAAGTGGAGGGTAAGTGGTAAGGTAACCAATGGGATTTCCTAGAACTGAGTGAGCCCAGATAAACATGTGAGAGCCATACAAATAAAGGTCTCATAATGATTCATTTGAAACAGAAAAGGCAACAGATTCAGCAGGGGAAACGCAAAGTACAGTTCAGAGGGTTTGAACTGGGATGTTGGTTAAATAATATTTATGACAGTTGATGAGTTGCAGTTAAGATTAGCAAGGTCATGGATGCATTTTCAACGTGAAGCTCTTAAGTGTTAAAAGGAATTCTGCCCTTTTTGATGTATTGACCTTACAGGATTCACATTGATATCTTATGTACATAAGTTTTACAACACTAGATTTCTATTTTCTGAGATAATTTAAAACATACAGATGCATCTAAAAAAATTAGAACATCGTGGAAAAGTCATTTTTGCCCTCTGTAATTTAATTCAAAAGGGAAACTTTATATTCTAGATCCATTACACACATTACACGTTTCACGCCTTTTAATGTTTTGATCTTGATGATTACAGCAACAAGTGCAGTGTTGAATTAACGCCCACAGAGTTGATTTCAACCTTTTTTCAGGGTTTATATAGCTCCACACTTTCTAGAGTCAAATTAACACTTCTGAAATAGTTAAACATTTAATACTGATGCTCACAAGGCAACTATGTGAGACATGTGCCTGCATGCTGGGACAGTGTGGTAAAAAAACAAAAAAACAGAAACATTAGCTTCAACCTCAAAATGTAAACATAAAAAAGCATATTTTCATTGCTACAAGCTTTAAAAGTGTCTTGTTTATTTTCATTTATGACATTTAAATGGTTTTAAGGGTTAGCCTTTGCTTAAGTCTTTGCCTTACCGTGTCCAAACATTTTTTTAAAACTGCAGTTCGTCCAGTGGCTGCTCGAGGCTGACTAAAAAAAAATCCCCCTACAGGCCCAATATTACATGGCTCAACTTTACAGCAGAGCAGAGTCAAAGATGGTCTTAAATATGGTTTTGGTCTTTATAGTGCATCTTATCTATTATAATAACTAAGCTTGGACTACATTTTTCTAAAATGACAGAGGCCAAATTCTGAACTTGAGGATTTAAATAAGTCATTTCATATCCCAATGGGTGACATCATGTTGGCTTCATCCATTGTTTATATTGTCAATGATGAACTGACGACCGTATGAGACAGTTATAGGTTTTCACTTGGTTACCAATAACTTGACCAGTCCTAACTCAACAACGTGTAAGCCTACATGATATTTTTAAATGTTTGGAAACACTGACTACATTTTTTATTGAATACATTAAGTCACTGCTAACCAAGATGCATTAATGACATTGAATACAATAAACTCTTACTGTGGAAACATTGGAACATGCTTTTCCATTTGCCTTTAATAGGTGACCCAGTCCACAGTGTTATGTGGCTCTTGAAAGAACTGCTGCTATTTCTTGTAAATGCTGAGGAAGTGGAGGGTAAGTGGTAAGGTAACCAATGGGATTTCCTAGAACTGAGTGAGCCCAGATAAACATGTGAGAGCTATACAAATAAAGGGCTCATAATGATTCATTTGAAACAGAAAGGACAATAGATTCAGCAGGGGAAACGCAAAGTACAGTTCAGAGGGTTTGAACTGGGATGTTGGTTAAATAATATTTATGACAGTTGATGAGTTGCAGTTAAGATTAGCAAGGTCATGCATGCATTTTCAACGTGAAGCTCTTAAGTGTTAAAAGGAATTCTGCCCTTTTTGATGTATTGACCTTACAGGATTCACATTGATATCTTATGTACATAAGTTTTACAAAAAAACACACTAGATTTCTATTTTCTGAGATAATTTAAAACATACAGATGCATCTAAAAAAATTAGAACATCGTGGAAAAGTCATTTTTGCCCTCTGTAATTTAATTCAAAAGGGAAACTTTATATTCTAGATCCATTACACACATTACACGTTTCACGCCTTTTAATGTTTTGATCTTGATGATTACAGCAACAAGTGCAGTGTTGAATTAACGCCCACAGAGTTGATTTCAACCTTTTTTCAGGGTTTATATAGCTCCACACTTTCTAGAGTCAAATTAACACTTCTGAAATAGTTAAACATTTAATACTGATGCTCACAAGGCAACTATGTGAGACATGTGCCTGCATGCTGGGACAGTGTGGTAAAAAAACAAAAAAACAGAAACATTAGCTTCAACCTCAAAATGTAAACATAAAAAAGCATATTTTCATTGCTACAAGCTTTAAAAGTGTCTTATTTATTTTCATTTATGACATTTAAATGATTTTAAGGGTTAGCTAACTGCACGAGGCGGCTTGCTTACATCACTGTGACTGTGGCCATTTAGTTCATGGCAACACATACCAAGCTTTACTTTCACTTTCACAGTTTCACTTTCATTGTGACAAGCAATTAGTGGGTTGGTGCACAGAGACAGAATATAAGCAGCGACAGCACACACTCAGAACTCAGTGTCTTCACTTCAACTGTACCTTCTTCTCTATTCTTTTCAGCTTGAACGTTGCTGACAATTACTACAACCTGAAAATGTCTGCAGGTAAGTCATGACAATGAATCCATGACTTAAAGTTCAATCATTTTGTGGCAGTTAATCAAATCTTATTCTTTATGCTTATTTTTTACATCTGAAATGTTGGAGTACATTTAAGATTTTTCAGTTACAAAAAAAATGTTTCTTTGGCATTTGATGACTGATAAAAAAACAAAAAACTTGTGACATGAGTCTGGTTCTGTTTCTGCTTCTTACCTGAGAGAGGCATTGTCTAGAAAAGGGAGGGACGATGCTGAAAGGGAAACATAAAGAGATTACATTGACAAATTAAGTTTTTTCTTGCCACTGTAACTTTGCTAAATGTTGCTTAGTGCTCATGATGGATTAATGTTGGGTCTTTGTAGAAAATATACCAAAAAGTAAGGTATTTTACCTGCTGTTTTGTAACATAACAAAGAGCAAGGTCTTGATTGATTCTTCAGTTTTATATCAGTTAAATAAGTTAGTCTTGAAAATGTGTTTGAAATTTCCTTCTGTGTTGTGTGTGAACAGCTCATGTACATTAAAGTTCATCCTCACTCTTTTACACAGGATACAGCAGAACAAATAACCAGGAGCTGAGAATGGTGATGGTGGGGAAAACCGGCATTGGAAAGAGTGCCACTGGAAACAACATACTGGGACGACCATGCTTTGAGTCCAAGTTTAGTTCAAAGTCGATGACTGTGGACTGTTCTAAGGGCAGAGGTACAGTAGATGGACAAAAGGTTACCGTTATTGACACCCCAGGTCTCTTTGACACCAGGTTTGGCATGGACAAGACAACTGCAGATTTAAGCCAGTGCATCTCTTATGCTTCTCCTGGACCCCATGTGTTCCTGGTGGTCATCGGACTGGGCAGATTCACTCCAGAAGAGAAGCAGACAGTGCAAAGGATTCAAGAAATCTTTGGTGAGGCAGCAGACAGATACAGCATGGTTCTATTTACTAGGGGGGATCAACTTGAAGACCAAACCATTGAGGACTTCATAAATGATGACCAAGACCTGCTGGAGCTCGTGAACAGATGTAACGGCCAGTACCATGTCTTCAATAATAAAAAAGAAGATCCCTCTCAGGTCACTGAGCTGCTCCAGAAGATCAGAAGTATTGTCCAGAAGAACGGAGGAAGCCACTACACCAACGAGATGTTCCAAAAGGCTGAGAGGGCAATCGAGGAGGAGAAACAACGCATCCTGAAAGAGAAAGAGGAGCAAATACGCAAAGAAAGAGAAGAACTTGAGAGGGAAGTACAGCAAAAGTATAAAAACAGATGAAGAGGATCAGTGATGAACTCCGGGCTGAGAGAGAGAGAGAGAAACAGGAGAGGATGAGGGAGAAGGAGGAGATGACAGAGGAGAGAAAGAGGGAGAGGGCGGAGAGAGAAGCAGAGAGAAAGAGAGAGAGAGAGGAAAAAGAAAGAGAGCTGAGTGAATTAAAGAAAACGTTTGACAGTGATCTGAAAGACAAGATGCAAAATCTGCAGAACCAGCATGAATCTGCGGCCAGAGACAAAGCGGAGGGTCTAATCCTTTCTATAGTCTGGTAAAACATGGCAAAGCTTTTCTTAATGGTATTGGAACGGTATTGAAAGGCAAGTTTTGGTGAGCGGTCCCACTATCATGTGGTTGAGAACAACATTGTTGCCCACAGTTATCTTATCTGCTTGAAGGTTGAAATGATTTGTATTTTCCAACTATGCCACATTATTGTACGTTTTCATTAGAGGTTCAAATGATTTCAATCCATTACAAACATTAAGTTTGACTTAATTATTATTATTGTCTTTCAACGATGGTGCTTTATTCTCTGCTTTACTGTAATCCATCATGTGCTAAAAATGTTCTCACTGTCATCTGATGACCTTTTGGCTTTTCTTCAGATATGTTGACCTCTGCCAATGTTTGTATGAAAAGCCTGTTTAATCTAATGACTGTGATCATTCCAAGCTTGAATAATTCCTGTCATCTCTTATGTAGATCATTTAAGCATGTTCAAGAAAAATTGTGTTAAAAAAATAAAGAAATAAAGATGTGAAAATCAGACTTAATCTTTCTCCGAGTTATATTTAAATCAGGAATGTAATTGGTAAATAAGGAAAATATACCCTCCACCCACACTGCACAACAGAAGTACAAAAAAGTCGTAGTAAATACGGACATTTCTCAAGGGGTTTTGCATCTCATAAAGATGACAAAGTTATAATAATGTCTATTACAAATAGACAAAGTGCAAAGAAGGTGACAATATTAAAATGTTGTCAATTTGTTGAATTAACACATTGAAGGAGTTCACTTGCAATTGTTCTGTAATTATAAACAATAAGTTACCGTATTTTGGGTGCCTTGACTTCCACTGTTGTTTGCGAGGTATCAATATTTGATTTTTTTAGAGAATTGTATCACAATTTGATATTTTGTTGACGTGACAACGCTATAGTCAGATGTATGTTTCCTCTTGAACCACAACATATAGGATCAAATGTTAACATCATGTTGTGGAATTACAGGGTTTCAATTTGTATACAAAATGCAAATTAAAAATGAATCTAGTTGAAAAATATCAATCACAAAAGGAAACATATTTAAGGCAAAAAACAAGAGGAGTCTAAAATAGTGACTTACGGTCAACAATATATTTAGTTATTGATATAAAAATATTCTTATTAAATTACCATATTTTTCTAACATTAAATCAGAATATTTTTATTCCCAATGGTCCTTTTTACATTTACAGGCTGTGCTGCCATCTTGTGGTAAAATTATTTTATATTTTACTAGCTGTGTGCAAAATTAGATTAATTATTCAGTCAAAAAGCAGTTGCATGGAGTGCTGCATGGGTGTTGAAAAAGGTTTGGATAATTCGCCCTTCTGGTGCTCTTCAGTGAGGGGATCCAACTTAGAAGCTTTTGAAGAAGTTTGAGGCACTCAAAGGGTTAAGCATAAAAAGCCTTTAATTCATCGGGGCTATAGATTCATGAAAACATGCAAACAAGTTTTGGCCATATAGGCCTTCATCAGGGCAGATACAAAATGGCCACCAAGCTACTTCCTGTAAAGGTTTAGAGCCACATAGTTTAGTAAAAAGGTTACACATTTGAACAAAGAAATTTAAACGTCAAAATGTATACATGATACCAAGGCAGATAGACAATTACAATATTTAAAAGTGACTAAATATACAAGCAAATGACTCAAAATTACTAAAAAAAAAAAAAAAACCAAGACAACTTGATGAAAGCTCTGATTGAGCTTAGTATATGATCAATACCTGAAATTTTTTGAGTTACCGCTGCCATGATGAGCCTCTTTAAAATGTAAGGACCTTGGATATTGTGGATTTTCTGTACTAATGGCATGTTTGACTTCAGCCAATCTTGCCGTCAGTTTATCAGAATGAACCGGTGTTCAACATTTCTGGCTTTCCACTATCACCCAGCCATGTCTCAGTGTTGTCTAAAGGTCTTACGTTTGCAAACGTATACAAAGGTATTAACCTTTGCTTGTACATCACATGGATGTATGGATTCATGAAAATGAAGAGTTAAAGATTGAATCGGCAGAAAAGATACAAACAACACTTTACTTTGCTGTCGAGTTTGAGTCCTCCTGTGAAACCAGAACTCAAACTGGACTTTGAATATAAATTCACACCATGAATATCTTAACTTAACCAGTCTTTGCCTTACCGTGTCCAAACATTTTTTTAAAACTACAGTTTGTCCAGTGGCTGCTCGAGGCTGACTAAAAAAAAATCAAAGATGGTCTTAAATATGGTTTTGGTCTTTATAGTGCATCTTATCTATTATAATAACTAAGCTTGGACTACATTTTTCTAAAATGACAGAGGCCAAATTCTGAACTTGAGGATTTAAATAAGTCATTTCATACCCCAATGGGTGACATCATGTTGGCTTCATCCATTGTTTATATTGTCAATGATGAACTGACGACCGTATGAGACGGTTATAGGTTTTCACTTGGTTACCAATAACTTAACCAGTCCTAACTCAACAACGTGTAAGCCTACATGATATTTTTAAATGTTTGGAAACACTGACTACATTTTTTATTGAATACATTAAGTCACTGCTAACCAAGATACATTAATGGCGTTGAATGCAATAAACTCTTAGGCCTACTGTGGAAACATTGGAACATGCTTTTCCATTTGCCTTTAATAGGTGACCCAGTCCACAGTGTTATGTGGCTCTTGAAAGAACTGCTGCTATTTCTTGTAAATGCTGAGGGAAGTGGAGGGTAAGTGGTAAGGTAACCAATGGGATTTCCTAGAACTGAGTGAGCCCAGATAAACATGTGAGAGCCATACAAATAAAGGTCTCATAATGATTCATTTGAAACAGAAAGGACAATAGATTCAGCAGGGGAAACGCAAAGTACAGTTCAGAGGGTTTGAACTGGGATGTTGGTTAAGTAATGATCATGACAGTTGATGAGTGCTAGTTTAGATGACCAATTAACAGGTCATGAATGCATTTTCAACGTCAACAATGTCAGGATCTTTTTTTAAATGAATTCTGTCCTTTAAGATGTGTTGACCTTACAGCATCCTGTATGTTTTTGATTTGATCTTGATAATGTAAATGTAAGATTTGGAAAAGTATGTTAATTTATGCATTCAATTCTTGGTTGGTGCTTCTTTTGCACAAATAACTTCATCAATGCGCAATGACAGGAAGGCAATCCGGGGTCTGTGGCCCTGTTGAGGTGTGATGGGAGTCCGCAGGTTAAAGGTGGGGAAAATGTGTGACCCATGCTAAATGCATGCATGTACAGAAAAAGCTGTACACTTCTCAAAGAACACTCTTTAGGAGCTAAACTGTGGGCATTTATCTTTTTTTCTACTGTAGCCTACTGAACGAGATCCATTTAAAGTATTTTAGTCTATAGGACAGTCTAATGAGCCCACAGATGAGCCATTGTGACAAACAATACAACACATAAAATCTCAAAGTGTTCTGAATAAATTCTCTCTTATATTGATCATGAAGACCCCTGTGTGTAAAAACTGTTGTCCTGCTGCTGTATATGCTAAGAGTTTTTAAAAGAATAGTTGCACATGTGGGCTATTTTCTAAAAGGTTATTTGTTCTTTCACATGTCGGTACTGTCTGAAGTCCCACATACACATTTTTAATTAGGCTACATAAAGTCTGACTGAATGGAATATGTCCGATATTGGGTCAGGATTAATCATGAAGGGGTTGGTGTGGGTCCTAAACCCCACTAATTGGATCCACTGCATTACACAATGCTATGAAGATAATATTTGCAGGTTTATTATTGCTATGTGTATTTCAGAATCACAATAACAACAGAAGATCACAGAAGAAAATACTGGCCAAAAAAACATCAATGTACTAGTTTACATGCACAGAGGTCTTGGGTGCAAACAGTCCGTTGTTGTGCCCCGATTGCAGGGAATAAACTGCATCATCGTAACTTGAAATAATAGTGGACTTAACCTGAGTGATCTGGCTCACTGGTGACTGAAAGGGGCTTCGGTGGTTGCCATGCTGGAAATGCTGTCTCAAATGCTGTCAGCCTAACACCAGAAAAGCACAAATCACAAAGTTTTAGAATGGGTTAAGAGTAAACAAGAAGAATATCCAAGAGGCCTCCGCTGAAAGCATCACTAGCAATCACTAAACTTTCAACAAACAAATTGAGAACCTTATCCCCTCTGGTAGACCCATTATTGCCAACTTACTAAAGCAGCATATGAATCAGAATGGATGGAGACGGCACTCAACCCTTGACAAGGTTGTGTGCCTTTTCAAGTTGCCATCTGGCAGAATACTTCATGTCATTGTTTCTATAAAGTTACATCAGACAAATTTAAACTTAAATTGTAAACAATGGCTGGTCTGGTTAACCAGGCATAGCCCTGATTTGTATTAGCCTATATTATATGAGGGTGTTTGGATTTACATTTCTGTGAATTTTCCAGTTGTGAGTAGTAAAGAGTAGCCTATAACTTTAAGTCATAACACGTTAAACTTCAGATATTGTTGAAAGGTTTAATAATGAAAACTTGCTTTTTGTTAAAAGTGTGTACGGTTTGTAAAGTCAGCAAAGACTCCTACTGCTGGTTTGATGTCTCTTTATAGATTTTCAGATGTATAAAAGGTTAGACGGGCTGTGCTTGTCGTGATAATTGCCAATGCTCCACCTGCATGTGGATGACGTGAGCACCTTGTTCAGAAACAAGAGCGGCTGATTACAAGTTCAACGTTCTCTGCCAGATAGTTTCTGTTTATCAATTAGTCTTTATTTGTATAGAGCCAATTCACAACAAATGTTTATCCTTTACCATTACATCCTTCCTGTCCTTGAATGGATATCCAACCGTG